TGCCAGCACTGGCTCCGCTCCAGGGCTTCTGCCTTCCTGGCCACCGTCCAGTGGGTCCAGGAAGACGTGTTCTGAGCTTGGCAGGTGCCTGCGACCTCCCCGGCAAGGTGAACCACCAGCCTCCTCTTGAATGCACAGGGCATGTCATTTGGATCAGGCTGATGGGCAGCCACACGGCACTCTATCCCCCCTATGTTCTCAAAGTAGGCCAGGAACTCAGGGACAATGTTCAGAGCATCTGAGCCTTCAAAACCCTTCTCTCAGACCCGGGGAGGGGGRGGCACCGCAACTGAATTTCACATTCCCAGAATGTTCCTTCCTCAGCCTCCTTTTCCCACCCCTGGACAATCCCAGTCTCAACCCCCTTCGCACCTGAACAACTGTGGAGAGTGAGAAGCCTGGTTTGAAAGCCAGCCTGTCACCCAGCATAGGGGCAGGTGCAGGGGACCACACAGGTGTCCAGGAACAGAGGACGGTCTTCCTGAGACTGTATACACCTGATTCTTGGTGGCATAATGAACCAAGACAATTTTGCCTCAAAGACTTTTTTTTCCACGTCCCTTGAGACCATGTAAAGAGGAACCTAAACCAATATCGAGGAGAAACCATCCCTGTTAAAATGACTATGTGCATCAGCAAAGAGCACAGGACATTAGGGAAAGTGCTTAGCTGGCTGGTACACTGGCCTTGCTCCTCCAAACCAACTGTTGTGGCAAGGCCACGTGGCCGAGGACAGTCCCCTGAGTGACTTGGTCAAAGTAAATATGGAGTGATGCTGAGCAGTTCTGACACCTAAATTATCCTGGGGACAGGCTGTGAAGGGCACCAGGTCCACCGCTCTTTTGCCATCACTATAAATAATTGAAATTGAAACCCCGGCTACGGAATCATGATTCTCCTCTATTTCTGATGGACTCTTCCCTGGCGGGGAGCTGAGCCCTCGGTGGAGAGGGAGATGGCTATGGCAAGGCTCAGCCCTGTGGGCATCGCCGAAGAGGCCCATGAAACCTTCTGATCTGGGGTCGTTTCAGAAGATGTTCTCCAGGGAAGGCGGATCATGCAGCCCGAGTCTAGAAGCATAATCTCAGTTYGTCTGCCACACCATGGCCTTGTACTAAAAGGACCCCCCTGGCAGGAGGGTCCAGACCCTCTCTGCATCTCAGGGGAGCAGGGCAACAGCAATATGAGTACCAGGGCCTGCACAGCAACCCTGCRGTAGGGGGACCCAGTGTGGTTGGAGGGCTGTGGTCGGGAGGAGCGGTGCTCAGCAGCCTCAGAGGTTGGTGAGCCAGACATCAGCCCAAGAGGAGCTCCCCCAGGCAAGCAGTGGCACAGTGCCAGGCCAGCCCAGCCCAGGGAGTGCCCTCGAGGGCCTCATGGCCACCCTCTGGCTGTGTCCTCATATGACCCCAGGGAGGCCTCTAGCTCAGGTTAAGAACAATGTGCAAAATTCTCCTTGACTTATGACCTGAGTCTGCCTTGTGCCCAGCAGGAGGCATTTGGAATAAGATGACCTTCTCCTCTCTCRGCTCTCAGGGGAAGCATACCACACTGTGATCCAGGGGAGGGGCGCTGGGAGGAGCGCGCCTGTCAAAATGAGCTGCCCATCTTCCATGAGGTGCTTTGGACAAGGAGATAGCATTCACCATGGGACATTGGAGACAGGAGCAGGTAAAGAGGAAGACGACCCCTCACGCACCACTTGGTCTCTGCCATGCAATACCCAGGAACCTCTGTGGCCCCTGGGCATGCCTGAGACCACATCTCCACCTCAGCTCACTCAAATTCACATGTTCTGCCAGGAGAACTTCTCACCAGGCAAACAGATGCTTTTCAAGATTGGAGGCTTAAAATATTTTTTTTTCCTTCCAGATGATATTTTTGCCTGGATTTAGGGATTCTTGCTCTGGGAGGCAGGGTGGAGGGGAGAGGTGGGGGAGGGGATGCTGCCACCAGCTTCTGGGTGGCTCCTTTTCTCCTGAGTAAATGGAAGAACAAGTCCAAACACAAGAGGAAAAGGCAGAGGAACCACCCAGATTCTTGGAGGGCAGTGTTCCCTCCCTGCAGGATAGGGGACACAAGCAGCCAGGCTGCCATCAGGTGGAACATGAGTTCTTTAAGAAAACAGTCCCTATTTTTGTGTGCCATGGCAAACTCTGGGCTGAATGCAAGGGTTGCCATGGCGACACCCCTTTCCTTCTCCTTACGGATAGTCACGTGGGACCCACACACATTCTGGAAGCCACTGCTAGCAGCTCCAATGCTGAATCCTGTTGGGGGCTCTGTCTGCACCTGGGATGGTGAGAGACAGTTTCTTTGGGGGCTAGGGGACCAGGTCCACTTCTCTCTCATATGTAAAAAGCCTTCCTGATGGTCATCTGCATGGTGAGGGTGGGGGAGGATGGTCACCCGTTCTTGTAGCCAGCATGAGTCAAGCTGGGTTTGCCGAGCGTTCAGCCACCCATGGCTACCAGCCCTGGTCCAGGAGTCCTACATCTCGTCTCCTATAGGATAGTGGCTCTTTCCTCTAGAGGAAGTTCCTGTAGAGGTCACCTCCAGTGGAGGCCCACAGGGCCCTCCTGGGGCATAGGGGACAGCACCTTCTGGAACCTTCRGCTGTGAACCCCATGGCCGCTGTGATGAGGAGGCTGACTAGCAGAGCCCTGGCACAGCCGCTGTGTGAGCAGGGCTGGGAATGGGGCCGCCTGGTAGTCCAGGTCTACCTAAGACAGACCGTCCAGGCAAAGCAGCGAGGGCTCAAGTCCTGGTGACAAACTCAGAGCCCCCAGAGTCTAAGGAATGCCTACTAGCTCAGGAGGCTTCCACACACAGCAGCCCTCAGCCCCGGTGCCGCGTGCTAAGGTGACCTCCAGGCAGTCAGGAGAACGCTGGCTTCCCTCCCTCCCCTCCCCATAGCAACACCCAGCAGGACACATGCTCCTGGATTCTCTCTGGCTGGATTCCAGACCCCTGAGAGTGAGCAAGGGGTCCTTTAAGGGAAAGGTTGCTCGGGCTCTGCAGGGAACAGGCGCTGGTGCCCCCCAGAGCAGCTCTAGATGCTTGTCCTGTACCGCATCTCACCTCCTGCCCAAAAATCAAACCTGGCCTCCCTTGAGGTCGACACTCTCCAGGGGAGGCAGGACCTGCTGCGTGCCACCTAGCCACCCAGCCTCGGAGGCCGCCATGCAACCCCTTCTCATGGGGTAGGGTCCTCAGAGGACCATCCCTGGGTTCCTACCTAGTCTAGCCTCTGTTCCCAGAAGGGTGTGGTTTAGGGCTTCAAGATCAGCAAAAGATAGGGAAAGGTGTCCCTACCAGACCTGCAGTGCCCTCCTGCCCATGTCCAGCTGGGGAGGGGAGTGCCCTGGGAAGGAGCTATGGAGGAAGCTGGATCAGCTTCAGCATTTGGACCTGTGGTATCCTAAGGGGACTGCAGTCCTCAGCCAAGGGGAGGGACAGAAAGGCAGGGGTGCTGTGGGCATGGGGCGGGGCTTGGCAGGGCAGTGGCAAGCAGGCTGCTGCCCTTAGCCCGGCCTGGATGTGCCAGATGCCAAGGAGTTTGACGAGGACGTCACCCCCTGGGCTCCTGGGAGCTTAGATCTACTCCCTCTTTCTATGGCTCAAACCCTAGTGTGACTTGTGCTCATTGTGAATGTGCAGCTCTCCGCGGTGCGAGGGTTTCTACAGCCGCCCCACGGTGCAGAGCTGAGTCGGACAAAGACCCTAGTGGAGACCTTGGGTGCTCCACATCTAAGAAGGCAGCAGGGAGAAAGCAGAGGGAAGGCCTGGGGGACACGGGYGGCACCACAGCACCCACCCCTGCCTTGGGAGAGGAGACACCCCGCCCCAGTCCTGGAGGGAAGGGGACCGGAGCTGGTGCCCTGGAGTCAGACAATTGCATTACAGAAATACAGACCTGAGCCGGAAACATACACAGGGACAGCACGTCCARGGCCACTGGCCACGCTGACCACAAGCTGGAGCTGACAGAGGCGGCTGGGAGGGTGCCCACCTGACCATTGGGGTCAGGTCCCTTCCCAGCAGAAGTGCTCTGCAGGCAGGAGTGAATGCCTGCTGCAGYGGCCAAGCGCACTGACGTGTTCATGTGAATTAGTTGCAAGTCTGAAAGCCAGGATGTCCGTGGCTCCCTCTGCCCATCATCCTGCTTAGGATCAGATTTCTCTTCTTTAGCTGGGGAAGACTTAATGAAGCAAGTTGAAGACGAGGACAGGAAAGATGCAGGTGACCTGAACCTACAGAGGGGTCTAGCCTGGGAACCTGGAGGGGCTGCTACGCCAGACACCGAGGGTGGGGGCTGCGAGGCCTCTGCACCAGTCTCCTCTCTTCCCTCCCGCTGTTGGCCTTGCCCCTGCCAAGAAGCAGGGGTGAGTGTGGGGGGGGAGGACGAGTTTACGTGGACRAGGGGCCAGGAGAGCCTTGCACGGGAAGCAGCCGTCCCTGTCCACACGTCCGGGTGTTGAGATGCCTGTGATTCGTGGTTCTTTTTCTCAGCACAGGCGGCAAAGCTGGGATCAGGGCTCTCTGCAGATTCCAAAATGCTGGTGCGGGGTGGGCTCTAGGAACAGAAGGCCAAGTGCCACGGAAACCGATGAGAGCGCCCAGCTCTCCCCACGTCCTGTAGGAAAGGCAGTAGGAACGGAAGCAGGGGAGTGCAGCGGCGGCTGCCAGGGCTGCACCCTGTCAATGGCTTTCCCCTCACGCCTTGGGGTCTCCAAGGGTGGAGARAGGAACCAGGGCAAGGTGGAAAGTCCCCTCTTCTGTAGCAACTCAGAAGGCAGCCTCCTGGGGCTGAGGGTCCACCTCAGCCCGAGGCTCTGGGCCCTGGGTTGGAAGAAGGGGGTGTGGATGGAGGTGACCACGGCTCGCGCCTCTCTCCTCTAGCTCTCGCCGCCACCGTTACACCTGGATGGCCACTGGAATTCCGAGACAGGAATGAAGTTTATCTCCAGAGTCACTACTGGCGGCTGAAGCAATAACTCGGAACTCCTGGCTATTTATTGCRTTAGGAAACAAAACCATTAAAGCATTGAAGACAGCCCTTGTGTGTCCCTGCCAAAGAGATGGAGTGGGTTTGCAATCCCGGTTGCCCTGCAACCTGGGGCTCTTTCCTGAAGGGTACCATCAATGCATCGGCCACAGGTCCAGATCTGCGGAGCGCAGGAAGAGTCCGCCCGCGGGCATGCACATGCGCGGTGAGCTGGCGGCAGGAAGGCTGGCGGGAGGCTACTCCATGCCGCTCCGGAGGATCTGATTGGCTGCGATCAGCATGACGCTGATGATGAAGGCCATGGCGAAGGCGCAGATGAGGCTYTTCCGGACGCAGGTCTGCCGGTTCTGTTTCTGGGAGTGCACTGTTTGGGGTGGGGGTGGGGGTGGAGGTAAAGGACGTGGAAGGAGGGGTCAGGAGGAGAGAGAAGAGAGAGGGACACAGTGAGACCACAGCCCAGCCTGCTGCAGGGTGAGGCTGCTCAGGCCGAGTGGGCACTGCTCATGGCCCCTGTCGGGACTGAACACCTGGCAAAGAGTGGGGAAAGATGAACCTTTCCAACAGGAGCCCTGACTGACGTTTTCAGAGSAAGGGACAAGCACAGATAAATGCAGCTGGAGTGACTTTGTAAGTGGCACCACCAGCCACCTGCATTTCTGTGGCTGACAGGAGGGGTGAGGTGGCAATGCCTCACTGTACCTGTGTTCTGGCTGGGAGCAACTCACCTTCCTGGAATTGCCCCAGGGTGGTCCCTGGTCAAAATGACGCCRAGCCATTCTGACATTACTTTAGATGTCTCTTGAGCCAGGCTCCTGGGCCAGCAGCAGCCCGCCTCAGCAGAAGCTTATTTAAAAAGCAGATCCCTGGCTAGGCCCACTCCAGATCTGCTGACCCACACTCCGGGGGTGGATCCCAGTGATCTGTATGACAAGCCTGGGTCCTGCCCAGGCCTGAGCAGTGGTGACAACACTCTCTTCTCCAGCGTGAAGACAGGGAGGCACAAGCCCTCTCAATTTTTGGAAGCAAGGGGTCCACCATAGACTGTGGCCCCAGGTCTAACCAGGCCTGAGCTTGGCCTGACCTTGATTTGCTCTCTTCTGCTTCATCTTTCTGACAGGCTGGGCCTTGTACCACCATTTATTTTTACAAGGCTCATGTGAAATCATTTGTAGGTCTCATCAAAGCAATCATTACAGTGGGTGACTAATGTGGGCCAGAAACAGGGCTATGGAAATAACCAGAAGGCACAGTGGCCGTGGGAGGAGGAGGGCTCTGCCAGGTGCCATGCTACCCCAGAAGGGCTTCTGGTCCCTCCACGTCCCCCATTCCTGGCCCTAGCTCTGCTCTCCAGTGGTGTCCTACGTGATTGACACCCCACGCCCCGGGGCAGGCAGGAAGCCCTCTCCACCAAGCTGCCCCTGGCCCAGCGAACAGCACCATTGGACCCCACATCAGTGGGATTCTCAGTCGGTAGCAGAATGGCCTCCCCAGGTCTCAGGGACGGAGGTGGGGAGTAGGTGTTTTAAAGAGCTCTCTGGGTGATCAGGCAACTTCTTCAGTCTTGCTTCAGTGGGCCTGGGTGGACCTTGAGCTGCTGGGGAAAAGAGTGTGTGTGGGTGGGTGTCGGTGCACCCACATGTGTGGTTCTTAGGGAGGACGGGTCTCCCATCCAGCTGTTGAAGACTGGCAAAGAAACGCCAAGCGGCTCCACATGCCTTTCAAGAGCACACAGAGCCTTCCATCCCAGGTCCCTCTTCTCCCTGCCAGCAAGTGGTCCCTCCAAATGCTGGAAATAACAGACAGGAGGGAGGAAGATGGCCAGGCTTCTAAGGGCAGGCAGAGATTTCCCTGGGAGAAGAGGTCAGGGCTGTCAAGGGGTCTCCAAACACCACCTCAGCGGAGAAGGCTCCTCTTGGCCTCATGGAGAGCCAGGCCCAGCTGCGCTCTGGCACCCCCGCCACATCGGCTACGTCCCTGCTGGTGTCTCTAGCCCTCCTGGACCCTCTGATCCATTGCACTGTGCTTCCCTTGAGTGATTTCAAGTATTTTGAGGCTCAGTGCTCGACTCGCTAATGGATCCTGGATCTTACATTCTTAGCTGAAGGAAGAACATTTCCTTGGCTCGGAGATGGCCTCTCCCTGGATCAGGAAAGTACAAAAGACACCAGCTCTTAGGAGGCAGAGGGGAAATGGTGTTTCAGAAGGAAAGGATGAAGCRGAAAGCGAGATGAGGGTGTGGAGGTGGCGCATCTCAACGCGTTCCAGGATACTGGCCTAGTATCCTGGGCAYTCGCCTGCATGGAAACGCTTCTGTGCTACCGGGTCCGTCCCCAGGGCTGGCGGAAAGCTCTCAGAAGAGAGGACCATGTGCTGGGCCRAGGGAGAAAGTCTTTGCTGAAGGCCTTCTTTGTGAAGGACACTCAGGAAACAAGGTCACAGGCAACAGGATTAGACCCAGGAGAGTGGCTCCAACTTTGATCTGAAAATCCTTCAARGCAGCCGGAGAGCCCAGATAAAGGAGGGAGGAGGAGCTGGAGAGTCTGCAGCAGTCCAGCAGGCAGAGGGGGCTCTGGCTCATCCCTGGCCACGGGGGCTCTAAGGGAGACCCTAGCATGAGTCTGTAGTTCAGATGCCGCCTCAAGGAGAATCCTTTTATGCTGAATTCTGGCATCTCCCAAAAGGACCTCAGAGCTGGGAGGAAACCCCATTCATGCTGCCTGCCCCAGCATGGTGCTCCCCCGTGATGGTGCTCCCCCTTGATGGTGCTCCCCTCATCATGATGCTCCCCCGTGATGATGTTCCCCCCATCATGGTGCTCCCACCCCCTGTATGACCTCGAGCCACTCCTCTCCCTAGGCCTCGGTTTCCTCCTCCATGACACGGGGTTCAAAAACCCACCCTGCTGTGAAGGACCCAAGGTGGCTCTGAGGCACGCCAGGCCGGATGCAGGCTCACTCCCTCCTGCAAATCCGTGAGCCTCCTGTTTCCTACAGAACGCCCACCACTGTAGGCTGGGTGCTATGTTCTCTGCTTTTTGTTTGTTTTATATGCAGTCGTGCTCAGAGGCAGAGGTCACGTACACTGGGCGTGTTGTCCCCAGCTGACAGATGAGGAGCCTGGAGCTCCCAGAAGTGGCGGCCAAGGTCRCTCAGCAAATGATGAGGTGGTGAGAGCCCAGGTCTGCTCCTATTATTCCAGTACCCTGACGTCTTGATATGCTACTTAGTAACAGAAAGTTCCAAGGAAGACACACTCCAGTCCCCAGTGTGGTTGGCAGCAATAAGACCGTGGTGTCCGTGTTCCTTGGTGATAACAAAGGCCCACTGCCTGCCATCTGGTACGTGCATTACACTGTATTGTGGTTTATTTATTTACTTTTAGTGTCTGTTCTTTATTTCCCCAAGAAAGCCACAAGTCAGCCCGGGATGAGCTGTGAGTCTGAGACCTGGCCTCTTCGACAAGGGCCACTTGGGAGCCCTGAGCAAGAGCCCGAGCTTCTCTGAGCCTCAGTCTCTCTCTCTCTCTGTAAAAGGAGCTAATGATAACTGTTCTGGCCATCAAAAGATTTATTTCAAATATTTAATCCACACAAAAGCTGTGTGTTACCTTAGAGTGCTGGAGAAACGCTGGGCTTGGTCTTGCACCCGCGGGCTCGTGTTCTTCTCCTACTTAATCCATCCTGAGCTACAGCTGGATGCAGCTTTCCAGAGCCCTGATCCGCCCCATCCTGTGCTCCACATGGAGGGACACAGCTCCCTCCTGCCAGGGTCTCTGCTCTGCTCCCAGCCCATCCAGTGCCCTCCCCGGCCATCCCTGTGCCAGAGGAGCAGGTCTCCTCCCTGTCCCCCACAGGGGAGCCAGACACTGTTCCCAAGCTCTGTCCTCTTCCTCTCTGCTAGAGGTGCCCTCTGACCCCTTCTCTCCTCAAGGTGCCACCTGGCCCTCACAGGGCCTTCTCCTCTTATTTGTTTTTACTGGGTGCTGGAGAGGGAAGCCAGGGCTTCRCGCATGCTGGGCGCTCACTCACCACTGACCTACACTGCCGGCCGCTCCGTTTACTATCTGAATGGTGTAGCTCTGATTTATCCCTTAAGCTGAGACACAGCTCACATACCCTGAATTTGCCCTTCAGGTGGACATGACCCAGGGCCKCTTCACACTCTGCCAAGTCTGTATGCCCACAGCAGTGCCCAACCAAGGACATCTGGTCACCCTCAAGAGAAAGCCCTCTACACCAGCATCCATTCCCCTCTCCCTGCCCTGCCCCAGCAACAGGTAACCCAGGCTCTGCCTCTGTGTCCCCACTGTCCCCCTGAGCCAGGTGACATGGGAGACTGGCCTCTGTCCCTCAGCTGAGGCTGCAGATCCTCTCATGTCGCTCCTCCCCTCCTGCTTTCCTGTTTGCAGGGCTGGACCTCAACCTGGTCCTGGTGCAGGCTGGGCAGTGCTCCGCCCTGACCCACGGCCTGCCCTGGCGTTTCTGATTGCTGACAGATGATGCCCCACAGTGCTGTGGACCACGTCCCATCCACTCCTCAGCTCACTGGCATTTGGGCAGCTCCATTTGGTCTGTCATGAGTGGGGCTGAGGCTGCTGTGAACATCCGTGTTTTCTCTGGGTACGGGCTTTGGATTCTCKGGGGGACAAGCCTGGGTCACTTGGTAACTTGAGGCCTAGGCTTTGGAGGGTGGCTCCTTTCCAGAGCCTGCTGCAGCTTCCAACTGCTGGAGACCCACTCTGCACGTCTCCTCCCAGGAGGTACTGAGCGCTCCTTCCAGCACAGAATTGACACCGTGGAGCCTGGGAGGTATCTGGGGAGGAAATGGGAATGGGGAGGCTGAGGCAGGAGGACAGAGAGGTGGGTGTCCAGTTTTCCAACGACTCCTGAGAATTTGCTAACGAGTTCCGTGCACCCACAGACAGGGGCTGCGTTGGCAGGACCAGGGTTGCAAGCTCATGACAGACTGTCTTTCCTCTTCGTGTTGTAACAGCAGTTCACACTGTTCCATTCCGTAAATGACAGGCAGAGGCTTTGGCTCTTCTCCTGGAGATGGTGGTCTGCACACCCTGCCCCTGACCCGCCAAGCCATCCGGGGTGCAATGGGGCTGTGATCCCTCCCACCTCAGTCTCTGTGTTTGGAAACAGGGCTGTGTGTCTTCAGAGGTGCTGGCTCCCAAGTGAGGCAGATTCGAATGACAGCAGCTGGTTCCAAGTCCTGCTGCAGATCCACTGAAGGCTCGGGAATTAAAGAACCAAACAGCAGCAGCTCGGGGGATTCTTACAGTGAGCCAGAGCCACCAGGCTGGGGACTGGGCTGCTGTCATCCCTCCAGGGCTAGCATTGGATGAGTCCGGGCAGCCGGCCGTTTCCATGGACTGAACCAGAACTAATAAAGAAATAAGGTGGAAAAGGAATTTTTTGTATCCTGAGGACATCAGAAGTGTTCAGATGCCAGTGTCCAGCAAAGGCCTGAGGGTGGCCATGGAGGGTGTGGCCTGGGAGAGAGCAGTGAGAGTGGCCATGGAGGGTGTGGCCCGGGAGGGAGCAGGCGAAGGTGGCCATGGAGGGTGTGGCCTGGGAGAGAGCAGTGAGAGTGGCCATGGAGGGTGTGGCCCGGGAGGGAGCAATGAGAGTGGCCATGGAGGGTGTGGCCCGTGAGGGAGGCCACAGGTGAGGTCCTGCGCTGTGCTGCCTCACTAAGAGGAAAGGGTCCTCTGTCTGCGGGCAGGAGCGGCTTCTGCCTCCTCCCCTTTTCTCCGGCTGCGCATCCACAGCTCCGAGAAGGATGCGTCCCCACACTCCTGACCTCGGGGCAGCATTACCTGGCCTAGCTGGAGCCCTTCCCCAGCCGTATTTTCATTCCACCAGTGACGAGAGCGAGGCTGTCAGCACTTATTCCGGTGCCTGATTCCGGGAAGGGAGGGTGCGGGGATCCTCCAGGCCAGTCCTCCATGCAGGGCCGGAGTGGGCCAGCTCTGCTTTTGCACCTTTATTAAACACACGCCCAGCCTCTCCCCAGGGTCTTGGAATTGCTTTATTCCTCAGAAAATGCCTGCAAGGTGCTGGTCAGTGTCCCCCAGGGAGGAAAGTTCCCCTTTGTCTGAAGTCCCAGACCCTTCGGAAACTGTCCCCTGTCTCTGTGGCCCCTGGCCTCAGCTGGGCATCAACCTCCTCTGTCCCCCAGGAAGACGGGCCTGGTTTCAGGAACATCACAGCCTGTCACGCTGAGGGCATACGGTGAGGGTGACACATGGTGCCCTTTTCCTTTGGCTGGACAGGAGATCCCTGCCATGCCTGGCCAGGTGACAGGAGGTCTTGCCACCCAGAAGTGTGACTGAGCTGAAGACCTTGATCCGGGAGCCCCATTCTTTCTGACCTTCCATGGAGCCTGGATGCTTTGGTGTCTGGATCGTCACTGCTGTCCAGGCTTTGCATGAGAGGTGAAGTGACATTCTAGGGCCCCAGGGCGGTGGCGCTGAGTGGGAAGGGCCCACGGCTGGAGCTCTCCTGGGCCAGTCTTCTCATGCATCGTGGGGGTGCTGGGTGGTGCGGGCAGCTCGGCCTGTCTCCCTCTCCCAGAAACTATTTATTCCTGGTTGATGGCTTTGTTTTCAGAATGTCTAGAAGAATCTGACAGCTGGTATTCCATTTAGGGACGGCACCGAGAGGGCTCACATGCACACGCACGGGTGGCACTTCAGCCCAACTGCCAGACGTAACCCCATTCACTGGCTGTGAAACCCAAACTGAACGGCATGAGGATCTGCCACCTGCGTGGGGACGCTGAGGGACTTGAGCCCCAGCAAATGACCTATGACAATGATCRAGCCAGGGGGCTGTGCTGGGGGACCTGCTTCACATCCTGCACCTGACTCTGAGGAGAGGCTCCACCCTCCGCCACCTGCTCCCCGTCTGTAGCCCTGGGGGCGGAGCCCACGCCACGGCAGCTGAGGGTCTCAGTGAGGTTGCAGCTGAGGTGGTGGCACAAGACTCCCAGCTGGGCAGGGGCAAGAGAGGGCAGGATGATTGACAGCCTGGGAGGCCCCAGGGGACCAGGGCAGCGCAGATCAGGCCTGGATAGGAGCGTGGGAGGGTGCACATCCCCAGGGGCCTGCTGTGGACACAGGCATGGAAGCAGGACGGAGGCAGGGAGGCCCAGGCTAGCCACGAGGTCCCCCACTGCCTCCTCTGTCCTAAGGTGCGAGGGGCCACAGGACTGGGCTCATCCCTTGTAGACACCTCTGCCTAAAGGACAGATGTAAGGGCCTTGCGTGTGGAGAGGCCCTTGGGCACTCACTGGGCACCCGTGATTCCAGCCATGCCTGTGACTGGGAAATTCTGTTGCACTTGGTGGGGGGTGGGCTCTGGGCAGGGACCCCGGGCCTCACATGCACTAGGCAAGCTCACCACCGAGCCATACCCACTCCAGAAGGTTCCTACMCCTAAACACAAACCAGGAGGCAGTTGAGGCCCGGCAGTGCTRATATCATATTTTTAAAACGTTTCTTGAATGTGAAGACATGCAACAGTGGCCCTGGAGGTCAGGTGGGAAGCTACTAGCAAAATGGGGTCTTTCACTGAATGAGACGAAGGCGTTCAAAACAGCCAGCTSGTGCCCGGCGCTGCATATGCCCCTCCAAGGGCAGCTCTGGCCGGTGCCGTGTGTGCTAGACACTGACCCRACCACAGGGCTGCCTTAGGAAGCCCCCTCTGCTGGGCGCTTACTCCACATGCGTGGTAAGAAGGCACTGCTTGGAGTGGGGGTGGCTCTCCTGTGTGGTCTGGCCTTCCCCAGGTCACCACGGCTGCAGCGTCTCCCAGAGCCAAACACCGACCCACAAACAAAGGTTCTGTGGAAAAGGAGAYGCCCAGAAATGCCCCTTCTGCCCACCTGGAGAGTGTCCCTCACAGTGGGGGCTGGAGCCCCAGATGCTCCCATCCTGGGAACCCAGAGTCCCTTGGGAGCCAGGTGGACGGGGGGCCACAGTGTAACCCTGTGCTCCCCATTGACCCTCCCTCCATCCTCCCTGAAGGTCTGCCCGGGTGCTGTTGGCAGTGGTAGCCCYGTGACCTTCATGGCAGTGCCCCGTAGGATGTGTGTGGCCCCAACCCCAAACATCATGTCTGCTGCAGCCCAGCTGTCACAGAAGGGAAACCGAGGCAGCCGCTGGGCCTCARCTGGACTTAGATCATAGATCTGAAYGCCTTAGGAGAGGTGTTGCTCCCCGCAGGGCCAGCCCAGCCTGAACTGCCGGCCACGGTGYTTGGCCGTCTCTGCGGCAGCATCAAGACCAGATGGCCAATCTCACTCTGGTGTCCACGGGACAGCTGACCAGCTGTGGACACTGACGTGTTCAAGGGTTCAGTCATCTGTTAAGGTGTTTGAATCCAATTAATTTTTCTCCCTGTCCCTTGAGGCTGCTGCACAGGTGGGATTGTCAGACGTGGGGAGAGAAGAAGTGCTCAGCTGGTTGGAGATGAGGGAGGCTTTTTCTTTTCCCTTAAGTTTTCTTTCATGAGCCCAAGAAAGACAGCCCATGGGAGCTTGGGCCTCTTTTTGGACTTCCACAGAGGCCCATTTCTCCAGTGGCCCCTTGCCTCAGCTCATGAAACACTGTCCTTGGGCTCTTGTTTGGTCCGTGCTCTGGGGAAGCAGGTTTCCATCCCCAGAGATCCCATGAAGTAGGTGTCACTATCCTGAGTCACAGACTAGGACACAGAGGGGGCACGCCCCTCGCCAAGATCACATCATTAGCCAACGCCTTGGTCCTCGGTCGCCAACCTCCTTAGCGAGCTCTTGTCACAGAGCCATGGGGCCTCGCTGACTCGGCCGTACAAGAGCAGACAGGGTCAAGGGGACTTCTGCAAAAGCGCAGAGTTGGGGAAAACAAAGAGAATGACCTAAGGCCCCTGAATCTTTGCAAAGACCTTTAGCGCAGTCCTGGGCCTCCGGCTGTAGTGCCCGCCGGGCTGTAGTGCCCGCCGGCCTCGGCCCCGGAGGCTGCGGCGCCGAGGAGCACCTGTGGGCGCTGGCCCACCCAGGGGGACGGGATGGGGCAGGCACCTACCTCCCTCAAACTCTGTCTGGCAGTTCCCCGAGGTCTCGTTGAGGCTCTCCTCCTCGTTGATGATGATGCTCTCGATGTCCTTCATGGTCAGGTGGTCCCGGAAGGCGTGGTAGAGAATGTGCTTCAGCTCCTCCAGCGTGACCCTCTGCATGTCGAACTGCAGGGAGAGAGAGCGTGAGGTCCAGGCGGGAGGGACAGGCTGGACACGGCGGGCAAGCCTTGGGCTCCCTGGGGAAGACCCGGCTGGCTCCTCAGGACATCAGCTGGGCAGCATCCTATCCTGCTTAGCTCCAAGCATAAGTGACCTTACAGGGCCTTACTGAGCTGCAGGGAGTGGACACATCCGTCCTCTCAAGCTAGAYTCCTGGAGTGAAGCGCCCCCTGCGGCTGGCTCCCTGCCCACCAGCCACCTGCTGCCAACCCCGCGTCTCTGTGCTTTAGAACTGTCAGACCCCAGACAAGGCGTGTGCCTCCCAAACCTACTGTCTTCCAAGAAAGCAGCACGTCCCGCCTTGCTTGACGTATGATCTGCTGAGTTTGGTGTGGACTGTCCCCCAGGGTCATGTGTGGCAGGGTAGAGGTGGGGGAGCCTGAGCAGAGGGTCTAGCGGGAGGTCCTTGGGTCACTGCGGTGCTGCCGGTGGTGTGTGGGACCAGCCAGTTCTTACAGGGCCATGGCATGGACACGAGGTGCCCCCCCCAGAGCCCCTGTGTTCAGGCAGAAGACTCCAGAGGTGAAATGACTGGTTAGCGAGAGCGTGACCTCAGCAGTCCGTCCCAGGGTGGACTGACGGCTGGTAACTGTGGGCAGGGCATGGCTGGAGAGGAGGGTCCCTGGGGGTGTGCTCTGCAAGGGTGCATTTCCCTGTGGTCCCTGCCTGCTTCCTGGCTGCCGCGGGCTGAGCTGCTGCCCTCCACGGCRCCCTTCTGCCATGACGAGCTACCTCCCCTGGGGCCCAGAGCAGCAGAGTCGCCCACCAAGGTCTAAATCTCTGGAACTGTGACCCAAAATAGCCATTTCCCCCTCTGAGCTGCTCCTGCCAGGAATTTTGGTTGCAGTGATGAAAACCTGATGGACGCAATAAGATGTCAAAGAAGAGCAGAACTGACCCCCGTCACCCCAACTTCCTGTCTCTCCATGTGATCTCTCTGCGCACCCCGGCCATCGTGATGACATCTGCCAGGAGGCGTTTGCCATAGTGGAGTAGACACTGGCACCATGCATTCCCAGCCCCAGAACCATAAGCCAAATAAACCTCTTTTCTTTACAAATTACCCAGCCTCAGGTATTTTGTTATAGCAATGAAAAATGGACTATTATAGTACCTAAGTATGGCTCTTGTTGCAACATCCTTATCAGATAAAACGCAAGTTTCACAGCCGTGTTCATGAGGAAGGACCTCCCCTAAAAGGGGAGGTGCAGAATTCCCTGTCAGGTCCTGTGCCTCTCAGTGAGAGAATCATGCTTTCCCTCCCCATTTATATCAAGTTTGTCATGTCACTTTATCAGCCTACGAAATGTGAGTTGAAGTCCCATAAGTCACATGTAATTAAAAGGTAAGGCCATTGTGTGGTTCTATTATTTGTTCTCTCTGATATGAGAACAACAGGCCCAGACAAGGCTGTTCCTTCTTTTGGGGTCTCAGAATGGGGCTAAAGACCTGCAGCTGTCCCATAAAGAAGTCTCAACATGCAGAAGAAGTGTCCTTGGGGGCTGTTTTCTAGTTYAGCACCCCTTGGCCCTTCGTTGATCTAGGTCAGCCATCCAGAACCCGGCGCCCAGAAGGGACAGGTGTCCATCAAAAACACTAAAGATAAAGCACTGGTCCCGGCCGGGCAGCTGGAAGGGTGGGGACTTGCTGTCCCGGCCACCCACAGCCGTAGCCACTCAACATGCACGCAGGTGTGCCTGGATGACTTCAAGGGTGAAGACGTGAAATGAGCTGTGCTCCAGGTGAGCAGCTTGGGGGAACAGCATGCTCTACATGCAGTTAGACTAGCTGCAACCTGGGCTTCTGACTGCATGCACTATGAGAAGGAGCGGCTGGTGTGTGAACCAGGAGTCAGAGCCCTGGGCATCTTGGTCTTGCAGGGTTGGAAGAAGCTAGTGCTTTTCATCTTTCGCTAGTAAGAGAGAGAAGTGAGAGATTCTTTAATAACAAAACAGGCTGATTTAACAAATCAGAGTGTTTTCTGTCCAAGCCTCGGAATGTGTGAAGTGGCTCCTGAGTTTGGAGAGAGGCCTTCAGATAATCAAGGGGGCGGCTCTCAGCCTCAGCTGAGGGGAGCTGACAGCAACCGGGCTCGGACCTCGGGACAGCTGTGGGTGGGGCACCCGCATGACCTTCGCATTCCAAACCTGCAACACAGGCCGCATCACGAGGAGCGCTCCACAGGCCCCAGGAGGGCACCTTCAGATGAGCGCGCGAGGAGGTGGACGGAGAGTCTGGCCTCGCAGAGGATGAGGCGGGGACCCTGGGGCAGGATAAGGCACCCCAGACCTCAGGGAGGCAGGGGTGGGATCTACGGGGGAAGCTCCTCCCCCAGGTGCTGGGCTGCCAGTGCCCCCACTTTCTGGAGGGGAACAGACTTGTGGTCACCTGGGCCCTGTCCCCAGCCACATGTGGACAGGGTGGGGCCACCTGTCCTTCCAGTGCACCTGACTCTAGGTGGGGAGGAGCCATGGCTGCTCAGGTGTCCACCATGACCCTCTGGGACCTAGATCTGGGCTTGGACGGGGCTCGGGGTCACCTCCTGAGAGAGGACTGTGTGTCTGTGCCTGCAGGGGGCTGCGGGGACATGCTACGGTTTGACCTGCTCTGTCCCCTGGAGGTTCCTGTGCTGGAAGCTTGGTCCCCCAGTGTGGTGACGTGGAGAGGTGGGGCCTCGTGCAGGTACCCAGGACAGGTGAGCAGAGCAGGTGGGTCTGAAGCAAGGTTCCCAGTGCCCACCCTCTACTGCGTCAGCCAGGTCCCCTTCCATTTCTCTGCCGTGTGTTGGTGACCCAGCCAAGGGAGCCCTCACCAGAGGCTGAGCAGACAAGGCGTCCTGGTGTTGGACTTCCAGCCTACAAAACCGTGAGGTGAATAGGCCTCTTTTTCTTACAAGAAGCCAGACTCAGGTATTTTGTTATAGCAATAGAAAATGGAGTAACAGAGGGAACAGACAGGAGCAGGAGTGTGGACTGCAGCAGGCTGTATCTCTTCAATGGCCACCTCCTGCCCTGTGACAGGACTTGCTCTCCCTGCCCACTGACATGGGGCTTCAGCCATGAGGTGTGACTGCAAGAGATCTGTGGACGAGGGAAGTCCCTGGAGCGCCTCCAGGCTACTGTACATCCTGCTGTTTCCTTTTCTTCTGCCGCAAAATAGTTAAAATCAAAAACAGAGAATTTCCCTTCCTCCTAGTGCACAGGACAGGAGAGGACCGCAGCCACTCCACAGGGCATTGATCTGAGTGAAAACAAGCTCTGGATCTCAGCTGCTAAGATGGGGGTGACTGAAGGGAGACGTGGCCAAGGGTGAATGCAGACTCAATGTTCCAAGTCAGTCTGGACCATGGCGATGGAAGGTTCTAGATGTTTTTGTTCCTCTCTTTAAGCAATGCCTGCCTTGCTTTTCTTTTTTGTACCTGGGATTGAACTCGGGGGCACTCAACCACTGAGCCCCATCCCCAGCCCTGTTTTGTATTTTACTTAGAGACAGGGTCTCACCGAGCTGCTCAGTGCCTCGCTTTTGCAAAGGCTGGCTTGCCGCAGTCYGGCTGCAGCAAAATAACTGGGGGGTGACGAGGAACTTGTGTACATTGATACAGCAGGAGTGGAAGCCGTTTATTGTAGGACAGGAKGGGTATTTATACATTCCACACAGCTTATCTTAATTAACATAAACTCAATACAGCAGTCAACCAATAAGGAATCTCCACACTTCATGGCTGGCTGGCGTTACTTCACAAACCACTCCCTCTGGCAAAATGCCAGGCGCCATCCAGACTTGTTTAAGACTCTAACACTGGCTTTGAACTCCATCCTCCTGCCTCAGCCTCCCCGGCTGCTGGGATCACAGGTGTGCGCCACCGCGCCCGGCTGGTAATGCTGTTTTCATTTGGGGGCATGAAGCTTGTTTTGTCTTTTGGGTGAAAGAGGGACCCCCACAGGATCTTCAGCAGAGAACTCACTTGGTTCAGTCTGGGAAAACTTGCCCTTGGCTGACAGAAAGATAAAGATGTCCAGAGAGGAGCGACTGGAGGGACTGGGTACAGCCCAAGGCGGGCTCTGGGCCTCGGGAGCCCTGGGGAGAGGTGGCTCGCTGGGAGTGGAGGGGGAGGAGCGGGCGTCCTGGACRGCCCCTGGGCCTTGGGAACAGGATTGGAAGGAAGGAGGCAGCTTGGTCTCAAGGTGCTCATGGCAGACTTCCCACGACACAGAAGAAGGCTCTGAGTGGGCTGGTGACTCGGGCCTTCAAGCTCTCTGCATACAGATGACCATAAAGGTCACCAGGAAGGACGATGGCCCCGGATTGTGGAGCGTAAAAACCCCAAGGGAAGCTTCAGAGGACATCAAGACGAGCGGGCAGCACGGACGGCGGGCAGGACTCCACCTGGGCGCGGCCAGCCACTGAGGACCTGTGAGTGCTTCCTTAAGGCCTGTCTTTGCACCACGTGGCGCGTCTTTTTCTGTGTGACTCTTCTGCTAACGCCCGTCTCTGTGTGCGTCAGAGCTTGTCTCTTACTGAGGAAGAGCGGGGTGTCTGAAGACCTGATTTCTCACGTACCATCAGACACGTGATGGCTGGGTTCTTGCTTTTTGTTGGGTCCGTGACGCCATCGACGTCAGGTTCCTGGGATTCTTTGGCTCGGTCTGCCCTCCCCATCCACCTTTGCGGCTCTCAGGCCCCGTCCTCCCTGTCCTCCTTTGTTCTGGACTTTCCAGGGTCCCCTCGTGGAAGAAAACACATGACTCTGGCCCTCGCTGGCTGATTTTGCTTCACGAGACGCCTCCTTCCCCCGTGTTCCTGTGGATGCCATGACCCATTCTTGCTGGTGGGTGAATGGGCTTGTTCCTGCTGTCCGCTCGGCGAGTTTCCTTGGCCTTTGGTGTGAAACATTCATGGATGTCCTCATTCYGACTAAGCTGCAGGATCTCTTTCCATTCGTCAGA